AAAGTTTTTGCAAAGATAGTTCAGAATTTTTACTATTAGGCTATACTTAAGCTTTCACTTCTACTTCTACTATAACTTTTCTCTTGCAAGAACCTTATCATTTGTTCTATAAATTCCTTTTAATAGTATCATCATACACTTAGATTCAGTTATATATACTTCAAGAACAACAGTTACCTTTTCAATGCACACTTTTTGAATAAGCTATACTTTTTATTACAAGACATTTATTAAAAATATATGTATATAATGCATATGATATATACAAAACAATGTAATTAACCACATGTGTATTTACCTGGATGAGTATCAATATTACCAATACTCTTGAAAATGATTGTATCTTTCCTCCCTGATCACATCCCTCTGATCCTTTCTTCAGAAAAACTCTACATCTTGAATTATTCTATAGATTTTCTAAATATCTACATGGCCCTTACACATTCTTTAGTTTTGAGGGTGTTTTTCCCTTATAGAAATGGTATATAGATTTCTGCAATTTTATCTTATTGCCTAATAATATATTTGTGAAGTTTTTTATTCCAATGTGTATTATCCTGATTTATTCTATCATATGTTTACACAAAAACAGACAATCACAGCCTGTTCAGTAAGGTGATATTCAGGCAGAAATATAAATGAAATGAGAAGAATTCCTGCACGTATCCAAGGAAAGATAATTTCAGGCAAAAGAAATGGTATAAAGGCCCCAAGATAGGAATAGACTGGAAGGGTTTCAAGAACAAGATGAGTGTCAGTATGGATGGAACTCAGGGGAGAGGATAAGAGGGACTGCCCATGCAAGAGGATGTTGGCCTTTTAAATTTGATGAAGTATTTGACATTCACTCTAAGTGGGATCAGAAGTTACTGAGAGTATTGAGCAAGTAGTGACATAGTCTGATTTAAGTTTTTAAAGGTTCACTCAGCTCTGTAGAGAATAGACTATAGAAGAGGGAAAGCTGGGAAGCAGCCAGCACGTATTGCAGTAGTCCACCTGTGATGCTGGTGACTGAAATCTGGTGGAAGCAGTGGACCTGGAGGAGGAGGGATGGAATTTGAGATATATTTTCATGGTAGGCACAAGGATTTGCTGTGATGAGTTGGATATGATGTAAGAGAATAAGTGAGATATTAGTAATGACTCTATAAAGCAGGTGTGAAAGTGGAGGTTGCACTACACTTTGTAGGTTGCAAAACCAGAGGTGAAGTTACTTAGGGCCTGTCGCAACCCCTAAGGCCCTGGTCTCAGTCACGATAGGAAGGAACCAGGCATGACAAGGGTTAGAAGTACAAGCTTGCGGGAGGTGGACTAACCTTAAGTGCAGGGTAGCCCAGAGTTCCCTCCACAACAGGTGTGGAAAGTAAAGGTAATGACATACACAACAGGTGTAGAGAATTAAGGTGATTACATACAAGGGCTGCATGCGTAAGAATTGCCACATGCTCTTTCCTCACATGCTCTTCTTTCCCCACAACCCCCATGAAGAAGTACTAAGCATCAATGTTTAACACATGCTTACTAGTGAGTGACAGATCTTATCTCATTCCGGAACACAGAGTTACTTGGGGGATTGCCCCTAAGTCACAAAACATCTCTAGGCTTGCCAGGGGACTGTCCTGTTCTCAATGTTTCCTTTTAATGTGATAAGAATCAGTAACTGTCCTGTGCAAGCATGGTGACCATTCCTCTACAAGGGCCAGTCCATCAAAGTTCTGTTCTAAACACATTAAGTTTGTATAGACAGTTAGATGGTTGAAGCTAGAGTTCCTAGAAAAAGCCAGGACTATAATTAAAAAGTTGATGGTCTTTCATGTCTAAATTATGTTAGAGAATAGGAGTAGATGCAGACACCTATACTTCTTCTCCAGAATTCCACCAAATAAAAATGCAGCCCAAGCCTGAAACTCTAGGCTGATCATGTTAGTGACTTAAAAGTGTTTTGGCTTTAAAGTCTCCAAGACCTTGGAGAGGTCCATGACCACTGGACCAAGATGCCAAGACCAATGTGAAGAGTTGTCATCTTCTCTGCTCTTCTTTTTTCAAGTCTATGAATGAAGTTAATAACACTTCCCTTTCACAATTATTGAGAGGCTAAATGATACATATATATGTATATATATATATACACATATATATGTAATTCCTAGCATACAGAAGATATTCCATAAAAGTTACTTACCTTCCCTTTGTGTCTCCTTCATTCCTCAGAAATTCTATTTTATCTCTTTATAAATATTGAATAATTTTTGTTTACTGGCTCTGGCAGTTGTTTCCCTGTCACTTAAAGTTGTAGCTCAACTTCTTGAGGTTTTATAGAACATATGTAATCCATTTTCTTTATGACAGTACCACAAGCTCAGAAATCACAAAGACAGATGCTACCTACAGAAACTAAGTAGGTAACCTAACTGGGTAAGAAAACAGATCATTGGCCTATTGCCAGCTTTGGTGCAGGACCGGGCAGATTGGAGTACTCATCTACCATCCAAAGCAGTTGCTGCAACTCAAGTTTTTCAGATTTTGGCCACCTAAATAGTTCATGGATTTTCTCATAGTTATAATCAGTGATGTCTGACCCAAACAAAACATGCCTGTGGTCAGGTAGTAGAGCTAGAAGTTTATAAGCTCTGCCTAGGTAACTGCAAACCGTTGTTAAGCCTACTTTAGTTAATAGCACAGTCACTTTCTACTGATGAGCAGGCCCCGCCTGCACAGCAGGTGGGGTTGATCCAACCTACTCTCAGATCACCAGGACTCTCTGTAATTCACCCAAAAGAATCTGGGGACCAGCAGCAACCCAGATAAGCATCCTGGTCTTCTTCAATCATTTCTCAGGAGAAGATTCTACTCCTCTTTCTATGAGACTTTTTTCCCCCATAACATATCACAATCCATCAAAGTAGAAATTCTAGAACTACAGTTTTGGTCTGACTACCACAGGGCATAGATTCTCTCCTTCTTTAAGTTAGAAAAAGGATTCTTAACTTTGGGATCCTTCAATCCTTTGATAGTTCGTAGATTGATTCCAAAGGATCAATGAACCCACAGAAATTACATAAACAATTTTTGCATATATATAAAGGCATGTCTTTTAACACATTCTTTAAAAATATATAAACTGGAAGAATCAACAAGCACTATAGACCATGTTTAGTTTGACATAATCTGTAGCATTAGCTTTTGGAAGCCTGTTCTGTCAGAATATTGACCAATGTGTGTACTGAAATACAAGTTAAAACCACAATGAGATGTCATCTTACCCGAGTCAGAATGGCGTTTCTTTTTTTTTTTTTTTTTTTTTTTTT